GGGAAAGAGGAGGCTCCCTCTGAGCCCAACCCAGGCAGTTGCTGACATCAGTCAGCCACAGCACATGGATGGGGGTTTACTGCACCTTCTTAACAGGAGATTTTTATGTGGAAAGCGTTCTTCTTTCACTCCCCCCTATTCCTGCCAGCCACCCCTCCCCCGTTGTTTCCCTTGCTCCCTCTGATATCAGGTGTTCAAAGGCCTTTTTCCTTTGGCTTTAAATCATGGTTTATAATGGTGAGAATTGTACTATTTAATGATGGGGAGGCAAAGATCTCTTAAGTTATTTAATCTATCTTTCTGTCGATGCAGGATGGCTTTTTAGTGTTCCACAGACCTCTTCGAGTTTAGTTTTAAATGCTGCCAGTGGCTGAGTTCGGCCATTCTTTGAGGAGGTGACCTCATAATCTAATAGATCTCACCATTATATCTCTTAAAGGGCAGTGGATGTATATAAAATGATTTGTGATTAATACCAATGCTGTCAAATTTCTTCATTTTGGGGTGATTTTAGAGCCTGCCCTGAAGTGTGTTTTTTTTAAAGATGTTTTAAATCCTGTATCAATGGTTAGTTTTGCCTAGTTACTGTTCGTGACTATGGTTATACAAGGCAAGTTTTTAGTTGTTCCTGGGAAAGTGATCTCCTTTATTAAGCCACTTTTAAAAAGTGTTGCCTGGAGACAGTTTGTTTAGTGTAAAACTGAGTGGTCTGCTTTACGATTTAATAAATGGTTATGAAATGTGTGACTGGTATTATAAAATTTGTAAATAAAAAGTGTGAAATATGTATTTGTCTTTTTATTTACCATTGTATAGTGCAGAATCTGTTTACAAGACCCATTTATATACAACGTTATTTTTTAAACAAAACTTTTCACAAGTTTGTGACTTGGGATTCAGTAACTAGATATGGTTTTAAGGTTGAAACCCTTTAGGAAACTAATAAAGAGCCACACATTTCCAACAATAGCTTTCATACATTATTTGAAGTAACAGTGGGAATTCTGTAACAGTCTTTAATATCATGCTGATAAGCTCAGAGTTAGTGTTCTTCTGTGGTTCTGGTGATTACGCTGAGCCTCCCTGCTTTTTGGTTAGTGTCATGTGGGTTTCTTTCTTGTTAGAGAGATACTCTAGAGACTGCCTGAAAACAAAATACATTCAAATCTGGGATTCACTTTTGTAGTTAATAGAATATGTGCTAGATATCTTGACATAATAAACATTTCCAGAAGTGAAGACTTAAATGTGCCACCTGTATTTAAGTCCTGGCTCTTAAAATGTTAACACCTGAGTAGCTTATATGTGAAGTGGGGTTTGCTGCTAAACTTACAATTCTATGCGTCATATTTTGAAGTAGGCTTCCTTACCAGGTTGCAGTGCTTCCATATGTGATTGATTACTTTTAACAGCCTGATGTATAATGAAGGTGATGGTTAAACTTTTTACAGCGTGTTTGCTACTAAATGGATTCCCCATCGTCTCGAATTTAGCTGAGTATAGTGAACTACTTCCGTACATTGATGAAGTGGAAGAATATAAAATACTATGCCAGTAGCTCTTGAGCATAGGTGCTAGTGAGACAGGTCAGTGTTTCACTAAAAGCTGACTTTGAAACTCAGTAGCTGTGCGTTTAGTGTCACTCTTTTTGTAACGGAAGGCATTCAGAGCTTAAAGTAGTGTTTTTAATGTGCCATCCTGCAGACTATATTAAAGAAACCAATATTTTTACAGGCATTTTACTATTAAGTAGCTTTAGACCCACGATCTTTGTTTCCTGAGGCTAGAGAGATGTGTTTATTGTAACACCATTGCATATTAGCTCATTTACGGTGTTCAGTATTCAGATTAGGTAGTATAACTGGTGAAAAGTACGCTTCTAATGTGCTGCAGTTAGTTTTAGCTATCTTAGAGTGCACATCTCTATCTTTTAATGTATGAAGATACATCAGCTGCCTTTTTTTTTTTTTTTTTTTACTTTTTTGATGTGCACAAAGGCAGTGACCTTCCCCCTAACTAACAAGAAATTCTGAAATCCTTTTCAGTATTAAGTTTCAGGTCATGGTAATATAATGGAATGAATTTAGTATATTGTAAATGAAGACACATTTAAGCATGAGAAACCACTGTGGTTTTCCCATATAAAAATAGTGTTGAGTCGGTGCCCCTCTATAAGCCACCTTAATGGGGAAAGAATTAAATATAAAACTGTAAAACAAGAGCACTTTCACACACTTGTCTGGACAATGGGGTTGTGAAGTAAGGTGTCATTAATGAACCTACTAGCCTGTCCTGTTTAAAATGCGCAGTGAGTGAAGTTATTCTGGTTTTATCCTGAGCTTACCAGATGGTGAATGGGACTTAAGTATTATGAATGGATGTTCTTCTAAGGGGATCACGGTCGACACGCAGCTTGTAGCGTTGTCTTTTCAGTTGTCCACTCAACAAGTCTGTATACTTCCTGATGCTTTCTGGAACTTTGTGGTGCCATCTGCTTGTGAAGGCTAATATTGAGCATTAAAATCACTTTTATTTGGGCCAGTAGTGCTTCATTTACATTAGAAGTTGCTCTGGCAGTCCAGCATCACCACACTTCTGTTGCACAAGCTTGGTTCAAGTCTTGAGTGTGAAATTAAAAGGAAAAAAAAAAAGCAAACCTCCTCTTGTAGCAAAGGTGTGCCCGGAATATGAAGACTCCCTTCCCTGAAAAACATGATTGCAGTTTATAAGCTCATCTGTACTCGGTCATGACTGAATTTTGTTTGGATGCAGAACTTTGTTTGAACTGCGCATTTCGCGTGCACCATGAAAATCTGACTGTGGGTATCTGCAAGTGCCAAGAGAGAATGGGACTCCTTGCTCCATTTCTTTGGATTACAATGAAATGTCTGTGACCTATTCTGCATGTAGTTTACCAAAAGACTGTGACGCTCACCATAAAACCTGCATCTACAGAAGTTCACTAATTTGGGCTTTTTGCCAGAAGTCTGACTTGTGTTCTGTGAAATCCAGAAAAACTGCATTCAAGGAGGTTTGAGTTATAAACAATTTTCGGAAGTTCCTTCAAGTGCTAACAGTGGTTTTCTGCTAACTTAAACTTACTTTCTCAATGGGTTTTGAAAGGTTACACTCAGTGTGCTAGCAGCAATATTGTCTTGTGGGCTTCTTTTTTTTTTCTTTTTTTTTTTCTTTTTGCCCAAAACTTTCACACACAAAGAGAATAACCTAAGGTGTTACTTTTTTGTGTGGTAGACACACTGCCTGGTACTTTCAGCTGGCTATCGATTTTCCAGTTTAAGTTTTTATATAAACAAAAACCCCGAGCAAATCCCTTGGTGTTTATAGTGGCAACCAAAAAGAGAGGTCTGTATTTCTGGGATCGGTAATCCCTTTATTTAAAAAGCTTAAAGTGTATTTTTGTTGTACTAAACTTCTCAGTTTCTTCTTATTACTCCAGGCTCCTGCATCAGAGAAGCTCCCAGTTATGTACCTTATGGATTCCATTGTCAAGAATGTGGGAAGAGAGTATCTTACTGCATTTACTAAAAACCTAGTTGCAACATTTATTTGTGTATTTGAAAAGGTATATACACTTTCAGAAAAGTTCTGTATTCTAAGCAAAATTTGTTCCTGGTAAAATAAATATGTTTTCAGTTCTGGGTTTTCTTGGGTGGTGAAATAGAAGAATTGATTGATTTTCTTAAATCTTAAGTATTGTTAGGTATGATGTGCAAGATTTGTGCTACTGTCCAGCATGTAAGTTGTATGTTAGCTGCGAAGGTGTGTTTAATTAAGTTCATAAACTTCTGTGATCTTTCTTTCTGGGCAAGATTTTATTACCAATTTTTTCATTAATAATTGCTTGCCTGGAAGGACTTTTTATAATGTATAGACTGATTAATTATGAATTTGATTTATATTTAAGATAGTTAATAGTCTTTATGCCAAGAATATACTGAGACTCAGTTTCTTCTTGTGGATTTCTCAGCTCGTCTCGCTCATTTAGTTAATTAGGTTAGTCTAAATTACTTAATTTGCAATGTGACAAAATAAGTGTTTGAACTGTGAAGACTGAAGTTCACTGACACCTGATACTCTTCTGGTGGTCTGTGATTTAAAAACATGCTAGAGGGGAAAGGCTGTTAGAATGCATTGCTGTATGATGTTACAAATAAGTGTATAATACCACTCAACATCAAGAACGGCAGCCAAACCTTTTCATTGTTTTTTTTTTTTGGTTGTCCTTAATCTTTAAACCCAGTGGAGTAGCTGTGCTTAGTCTTTAGTAAGAAAGGCAAATCGAAGTCCAGTTTTTGAAAGACTAGACTTGAGTGGGTTGAAGGTGAATCAAAAATGAAGGGTTAAATTCTGTAGTTTTCTCTATATTGTAAGTGGCATCTCATGAAAGAGATGAGAGGATCTTTTGCATATTTGCCTATCTCTACATATCACCGAGGATCTGAGATCTCAGTATACTTTATATGTGCTTTTCAGATGTGAAATGGGTGACTAATTAGGGAGTGTGTTGTAATCGCATGAAGTTTAAACTCGTGTGTTAGAATAGGTAGAAAAGTAGAAGTTCTACTTTTTTTTTTCCAGTATTGTGAATGTTCATTCACTGAATTGGATTTAACCTTCTTGCCGCTGGAGCTATGGATAATAATTTTTTTGAGTTTTCTAGGTTAATTGTCCACTGAGCTAACTAGAGTGCTTTATTTATGCGTATTTAATGTGTATATACAAAGTGGCAGTCACTTCTGATAGCTTAGTTGGTGATGTTAAAAGGTGCAAGTTGAATTCCATTGATGTTACTACGAATTTTTTGATTGATTGTTTTTGTAAATAGTCACTAAGGTATCTTTAAACACTTAATGAAATCAGATACTTTTGCCCAGTCATTTTCAGCAGCTTTTGCAGTGGACTTCATACTCTTTTGAAATTTGGATAGAACCCCCCTCCAAGATAGCTATGTACTAATTGGTTTTATTGAACTACCTAGAAAAAAGGGGAGGAGGCAAAAAAAGAAAAAAAGCCCCCAGAACAATTATTCTAGACTATTACATGTCTCGCTGTAACACCTTAAAAATAAAACTGCAGTCTCTAAGGGTCAACATTTAATGACTGATTTAGCGTGTTGACACTAGGACAGCTGCATATGTTGTGTCCTCACTTACTGTTTTTTAAATTAACCACTTGGGTTATCAAGTGAATAAAATTTTACTTTACTGTAAATTTCTAACTTAACTTTCATGAACTGATTCAAACTAATAGTTAAAGAAAAGATAAAATAGGGACTAGGCCTACAAGGGCACTTCATTTATAGTTCATAGACAGGTGTAATTTTGCAGTTGAACTGAAATATAATTGTCTTGATTTTACCTAAGGCTGCTCTTGTTGTATTTACTGGAATAAGTTGTTCAGTGACTGAACAGCTGAACAACATACTCTGATTTTGTTCTGTGATTCATCATTCTCTGATTTGCTGGTGATTGTAATATCCCGTTCAGCACAGGCACTTGAATACCCTATTGTCTTAAAGGCTATTGCCGTCCAGTGTTTTTACTACTGTGTGTTTTATAGAAAATGGGCAAGTAAAATGAGAATTTTGGTAACGGAAAAGTTGAAAGAAAATTCTGATAGAGAACGGTAATACACAATAAAACCTTCACGTGGCCTTGAAACAATATTTCCACCGTGAAGCCTCTGTTGTTAATTCTGTGGTTTAGATGTGTGAATCGTAAAGCACATCTGCGCTGTTCTTAAATTCTGCCTAGCCAGTTGAATGTGTTAAAATCACGAACTATTGATACGAATATAAAATAACTGAAATAAGTTTTAACACAAAAGTGTAAAAAGTTGTTTTATATTAACTTAACAAGCCATAGAATTGTTTTATTGTTTTAGGTGGATGAAAATACTAGGAAAAGTTTATTTAAATTACGCTCCACATGGGATGATATTTTTCCTTTGAAGAAACTCTATGCCCTTGATGTCAGAGTCAACTCATTAGATCCTGCTTGGCCAATTAAACCTCTGCCCCCAAATGTGAATACTTCTAGCATCCATGTGAATCCTAAGTTTTTAAATAAATCGGTAAGTTTTCATGCCTGCTATATGAGCAGATGGTAATACATGTCGTTTTCATTGTTTGTATGCTGCTTTTTGACAATTAAGTATATTATGAAAGAAGCTGTGTGAGCTTTATCGACAGGTAAGGTGAATTTCTGAATTGAGGATATTTGCTGGGTTTGGTTTTTATATTTCAAAACTATTTTAGGTTTCTGGACGTTGATGGTTTTATATTAAATGATGTGCTGTAACTTTCACAGTGGACAAATTGTAGTGGAGCAACAGTTTTAAAATATTTTAGTTATATTTTGCATTTAAAATGCAATGTATAACTGCGTTACAAACTAAATCCCGCTACTGGATCGTGATAGCGGTTAAAGGATACGGAGTTAGTTGATTCCATCAAGACTTAAATGTAACTTTCTTTGTTTTGTTTTTAGCCAGAGGAATCTACTGCACCTACCTCTGCTGTCACTTCAGGTGCCTCAACTCCTCCAGCTGTTCCTGAAATACAAAAGAATTTGACACAGGAGCAACTGATAAGGCAACAGTTGCTTGCAAAGCAAAAACAGTTGTTAGAACTTCAGCAGAAAAAATTAGAGCTGGAGCTGGAACAGACTAAAGCACAGTTGGTGAGTAGGGTAGTTGATGGACCCTTCATAGGTGGGCTTTTTGTCTCGGTTTCTTTTGAATAGCACTTTAGCTATACTGCTAACTGCAGTAAATTAATTTTTTCTTAATTTTAGACAAATGTAGACAAATGTTATTTTAGGATTAGAGCAATGCAAATTGATCTTGGGCTCTAAAACAGTATTATCTAAAAATCTTACCAATTCTAATAAAAATTGAATGAAAAAAGTGAGGCTCCTGGGTTATTTTTTGTTTTAACTTAGGCTCTCCAAAATGATGCCTGCCTATGATCCTAATCTTCCACCTCTTCTCATGGCTCACAGCAAGCCAGGCCTTTTCAGTTATCTTTGCTCTGATTTTTCTGAGAAAGGCTAATTCGTTTCTAGAATGAGGACTCTTGCTCCTTGGAACAGTAAAGTCAGTTTTCTCGTCAGGTCAAATTTGTTAAATCTGAAAGTGGCAGCTAAGCAATGTTATTTCATGTTTGTTATTGAAAGTCCTATTATGTTAATAGTTGTAAAAGCATCTTGACAGTGTAAAAATAGGAAACTAAAGCTCCTTGAAAGTCTAGAAATAGGAGAAATACACCAGATATGCAGCAGCGTAGTTGCCTTAAGCACAGAGAGTGTATTAAAAGCTCTCATGCTGTAATGCCAACATGCACTTAAGTCATGTTTTGTAGTATTGACTTTGCATTATGTTTGAACTTGATCTTTTGTAATACTACGTTATTTAAACACCTGTAATTAGCAATTAATGGATCACTTTGTGTTAAACAGTTCACTCTTGTTACTGTATCTTTTGAGACATTTCCATTTCTAGGTTTGGCCTCAAATCACAAAATATGAACATCACTGGACAGGAGTTATCAGGCAGGTTAATGCTGTTTTTTTCCCATTTCAGGCTGTTTCTCTTAGTGTTCAACAAGGGTCATCTACTATAGCTTCAGTTCCAGCACCTTCCAAACAACATGTGTCTCCGACACCTCATATGGCAGTTAAACCTCCTCATCAGACTGCTGTGCAACCTGAAAAAAACAAACCATCCCCCAGTCCTCCGCTCCATGATATCAAAATAGTAAACAGGGATCCTCGACTTAATAGGATGGCTCAGCATTCTTCTCATGCTAAAGATCAGTCTCACAGGAAAGAATTTCCACCAAACACAGCCAATCAATCTGATACCAAGGCAAATAAAACAGCTCAGGCTGAAAAGCAGAATTCATCAAAGCAAGAAAAATTGAAAGCAAGTGAGAAAACACCGAAGAAAGAACTTGATCAGTCAGAAGCAAAATCTAAATCGCCATCACCCTTGAAAAATAAGCTACCCAGTGCTAAAGATACTAAAACCCAGGAATGTGAAAGCGCAAAAGTTTCTGAAATCAGTAAACGGGATCCAAGATTGAAAAAACATCTTCAAGAAAAGCCAGAGGGCAAAGAGGATGAAGTGAAAGAGAAGAAGAAAAATGCAGATAAAAAAGAAAAAGAGGAACATAAGACATGTGAACACAGACCGGTAGGCAGCAGGAATTTTTTGTTCAGAAACAAGACGCAGCTACAGAGGAGTCAGAAAAACAGGGTGGAAAACAAGGGAGATCGAGTAATAGAAAACGCTCACGATCACGCTCTCCGAAATCACGGTCGCCGTCTACACATTCTCCAAAAAGAAGAGACAGGAGATCACCCAAAAGAAGACTTAGGAGTTTATCTCCCACTTCTTCAACTCCTAAAATTGGAAAGATCCGTCAGATAGGTCCTAAGCAGTCTCATGTTGAAGAATGTGCGCAAACAGCAAGAGATGAAAGAAATTCTAATAAACGAAACCTGAAGCAAGAGGTGCGAGATCCAAGGAGAGTGAAAAAAGCCCAAGAAGATAGGCCCCAAGAAACAGCAAGCCAGCATTCTACAAAAGCCTCTCCTGATCCAAAGGAGAATGCAGAAAACTGGCAAGGATCCAAATCAGGCAAGAGGTGGAAATCTGGTTGGGAAGAAAATAAAAAGTAAGTTACCAACTTTTAAACAATTTCTGCCTGAAGTCAGTGGAAATTTTCCTTCTTACTTCAGTATGCTCAGGTTTGGGAGGCAGTGTTCAAATTGTCAAAATTCATTGTTCAGGTTATTAACTTCTTTTTGATAGTGGAATATGGAAATTATGTGTATTTAGATTCTGATGTAATTCTGATGTTTTGCCACAGTAAATTTTAACTGACATATAATAGACACGTCCTGAATAAAGGAACAATAAGTTTTAAATGTGATCTTGCTTTCAGCTCACAGCAGAGTGAAGAACACCAAGCACTTGGTAAATCACCTCACCAAAGACACCGGGAAAATTGGGCTGCTAGTAAAGGAATTTTGTCACCCCGAGCACCAAAGCAGCAGCACCGGTTAAGTGTGGATGCCAATTTACAGATTCCCAAAGAATTGACATCTGCAAGCAAGAGAGAACTGCTTAAAAAGGTAACGCTAATTAATTTGTATTTGTAGAAGTGTCCCGGATACAGTTGTTTTTTTCTTTTTGGAAGTCTAAACTGTTAACTTTATTACAGGCAAATGAACGCTTAGCATCTGGTGAAATAACACAAGATGAGTTCCTCGTTGTAGCTCATCAGATCCGACAGCTGTTCCAGTATCAGGAAGGAAAGCACAGATGCAATGTGTGGGATAGTCCTACAGAAGAAAAATGTGGTTTGAAAAAGAAACCTCTTCTATCTGATGCAGAATTAACGTATTACGAACACAAAGCTAAATTGAAAAGAACACAAGTACAGCATTCATTGTCGAGACTTGATCTGTTAGATCCTGATGATATTTTGGATTATCATATACCTGATGCTTTACTTTCTGGAATAGAATGTGAGCAAGCCAAAAGTAAGCGTGGAGTACAGTTTGACAGAAAAGAACCGTTTGGAGAAAGATCCAGGCGACATTCTCCTGTAAGTGGCAGTAGTAGACCTTTTCCTGATAATCTTTCACCACTTGAGGGTCGACGGAGACTTGAGGAACAAAATGCTACTAAAGGAGCAAGAGGTTCTAAAAGCTTTGATCCTTATGACAGCTGGGGAGAATCAGATGAATTTAGAGAAGCTCTCAGACAACAGGGGAAGAGTACACCAGAGTTCCAGAAAATAGATGGTGATGCAATCTGCAGATTTGATAATCGTGAAGAAAGACAGCTTCTTGGGCAAGCTGGTATGTGTTTTTTGCTTTACTTTTGCGCTGTGAAGTAACTTGCAACGCTTCAGCAAGTGTTTATAGTTTTTGTTTGTTTTTTGTTTAGGTGTTCGAGAGGAACCAAGGTCCCCGTTCAGTGAACGTTTCAAGAGAGCGCGGTATGAAGATCCAGAGAAAGCACCGTTTTCAGAAAGTCCAGGATCAAGATTTGGAGGCATTGAAGTAAAGCAGAGAATAAGTGCACTGATGGAGGAAAGGCCTCTATTTGATGGCTCGCCTAGACCGCCTGCTGCAAGGGTTGGGGTAGATGGACCAGGAAGTCCTTTTGTTGATGGTCCTTCGCCTGGTTCAAATTCTAGAATTGATGGGCCACCTGGACAGGCTGCTATGAGATTTGAGGGGCCTCTAGTAGGGGGAGGTGCCTCTCAGTTTGATGGACCACTGGCAGGAGCAGGGGGAGCTGGAGCCCTAAGATTTGATGGGCCACCAGGGCAGCTGGCAGGTGCCCTCAGGTTTGAAGGACCCCCAGGACAGGTTGGTGGAGGAGGTCCGTTGAGGTTTGAGGGACCCCTTGGGCAGCTAGGTGGTCCTTTGCGGTTTGAGGGGCCAGCAGGGCAGCCTGTAGGTGGTCCTAGATTTGAAGGACCTGGAGTTGGTCTCAGGTTTGAGGGGCCCCGTGGTCAACTTTCAGGTGGTCTCAGGTTTGAGGGACCCCATGGTCAACCTCTGGGGCCTCGAGGTCAACCAGGGGGTGGTCTCAGGTTTGAGGGACCCCATGGTCAGCCCTTGGGGCCTCATGGTCAACCGGGGGGTGGTCTCAGGTTTGAGGGGCCACACTTACAGCCGTTGGGGCCCCATGGTCAGCCTGGAGGTGGCCTCAGATTTGAAGGGCCACATGGACCATCAGGTGCTGGACTTAGATTTGAGGGGCCACATGGACCATCCGGTGGTGGACTCAGATTGGAAGGGCCAGGGGTGGGTCCTAGGTTAATTGATGGGCCAGCACACCAAGGTGGTGGTGGTCTTAGATTTGAAGGTCCTCTGGGTCGAACTGGTCCAAGATTTGATGGCTGTCATTCAGCTGGATTTGATGGTCAGCCTGGACAGTTATCTCTTCTGCAAAGATTTGAGGGAATTCATGGACAGCCTGGCCCAAGATTTGAAAGGGCACCTGGCCAACAGGCACAACCACGATTTGATACAGCCATACCTCAAAGATTTGATGGTCCTCACCAGCAACCCTCAAGGTTTGACTTGCCCCTTGGCCTTCAAGGTGCACGTTTTGAAAATGTAGCTAACCATCCTGCCTCAAGACTAGAATTGCCACCGTATGGACAAAGTGGTCCATTTGGTGAACATCCCAGCCAGGGCTACAATGGACCATCTCATGGGATGCAGTTCCAGAGACCTGAACTATTTGATGGTTCTCCAGGACCAAATTTCAATGGGCCAGCTGGCCCAGGAGCACAGAATTTCGCTTTGAGAGCATCTGGACATTATTTTGATGAGAAGAGTCTTCAGGGTCCTCAATATGGAAACTTCAATAATATGTCAGTGGGAAATAATCAGGTAAGACTTGTACTAAATAAGGTAGTCTGAAGTATTTCTGTGTAGAGAGCAGTAGTAGTTCTTGTTCCTTCTAAACCACAAAATTTTCCTCATAATGAGGAGACTGGGAGCCAGTTTCAGACTAAAAATTTTCCTTGCTAAGTACTTTTTAGATTTTTTTTTAAAGGAGGTTATACTTTGCTATTTTTTGAAAAAGAAAATAAATAGAGAAAATGGATTTTTGCAACCATTGTTTTGTAGCTGAGAACATAACTTGGGGAACTCGGTCTGTATTTTCAGTTCAAACACAACTATGTGATTTGAAGTCTGAATAAGATTAACGAAAATACCACAAAGTGAATTATCTGTAAAGCATGGAAGATAATATAATTATGAATGTATATGATTAATCTGTTAGGTGTGGAATTACAATGGACCGCAATAATTGTTACTCTTTGGGGCTGTTAGAATTGGTGATAAGACTTAGGAGAGGCCCATAATTTGGGGGAATTAGGAAAGATTTGAGCATTGTTGAACTACACTCCTGAAGAATGTTTTTTGTACCAGAATGCTTTGAGTTTGGTTGTCTTTATGCCTGTCGGAAATGCCCTGTTCAGAAGGGGAAAGTGATACTGAATGTCATAGAAAAGCGTATCATTCCTTTCAGTAGATGAGAAGAATTAAATTAACTGATTGAACATGAACAGTTGTGTCCTGCTAACCTGTAGAGGGATAAAATTTTGAAGAATTTTAACTTCTTTTTGATAAATCCAAGAGCAGTCAATTTGCAAAGAATACTTTCATTAGAAACATGTTCTAAAAATTATTTCTCCATCTGGAGTTTGCAGCTGGTTTGTTGCATCCTGTTTTCAGGATGCTTTTGGTATAGTGGATACCATTTCAATTAATCTAAGAAGGAGTATCTGTTTACTGAATAGTAGTGTTTATTGATAGATGGTCACCAGATTCTCCAGTTTCTGATGCATTCTGTTTTGGTGAAAAGCATTTAAAAGAAAATAATGTGTTTAGAAAATGCGTTTGGAATTTGAAGGCTGGATAAGTAGAAGAAAGAAATTGTTTTTATTTAAACGTTAGACAAAAGTACGATCTCTGAATTTTTTCCGATGGGAAATTAAAACTAGAGAAAGCTTATTTGTTGACATTTCAATGCTAAGCTGATACATTAAACTCCTTCCAGGAGTGCACCATATCTAAAATTACTGAAAAATACCTAGAAGTTAATGATAACTTGATTATAACATTTTTTATCATGCAGACAATACTTAAAGATTTTACTTTTACAGGTGTCTCTCATGTCCGCTCAACCAGGACCTTACAGCCAAGGTCAGCAGTATTTACCAAATCCTGGAAGCTTTGTTCAGAACCCAGCAGGTGTGTACCAAAGTCATGAAAATGATTCCTTTATTGAAAATAATTATAACCTTTTTTATTTCTTTTGGACTGTTGTGCTTGTTAGAGGCCATAAAAACAAGCATTCTGTAGTGTCCTGGTGTAGTAATTCTGTGTGGACTAAAGGAAGCCTTAGCACTTAAGGACATGCTAGTGGATGTGTTTTCTGTGGTCCCTGAATTTCTGTGAGGATTTCCCTCAAACACTGAAGGCTTTCATTAGTTTTCATTAACCGTATGGTTTTGGGTATGTAGTTGGGCTGGAAAAACAAAATTTGGTCTGCTTTTGAGAGGGCAGGAAGGGACCAGTCCGTAGGACTGACTTGCATTTGCCAGGTTATATAAAAACTTTAGAGTATATGAATGGTTAGTAATAAAAAGCTTCTACAATGTCGTGAGTTATTAAAGCAAATAATCAAGTAGATTAGTCCTTATAAATATTGTAAGCATAAAGTGAGAAAGTACGACATTTCAAAAAACAGTATTCGGTAGAAATCTGTATACAAAGAGCCAGCACAGATAGCACTTAAAAATACTTATGTTATGAAGGAAGCTGCTGCAAGGGAAGAAAAAAATTGAGAGAAGCAGGAGGCAGAGAAGTGTGTTGTGAAGTATGTTGATGGAAATGAAGTAAATTTTTGAAGCAAACCTTTTGTCACCATGAATGTTGATGTTTTTTCCCTAGGAGGCCTTCCACATTCATACCCTGATAACCACCTTGGCCAGCTTGATGTCAATGAGTTGTTTGCTAAACTGCTGTCAACAGGAATCCTTAAACTGTCAAAAACTGATTCCACGTCAGCACGTATGTAGATCCATTATGTTCTAACTACTCAGTTTGTGCATAACCAATGTGAGAAGCTGAGTGTAAGACCTTTCATGAACTCTAATGGTGTGCTTTTTTTTTTTTTTTTTTAAAAACTAAACTTTTTTCCTCCTGGAAGGAATTCGGTGCATGTGATGAAGTAAACTCTTTAACTTTTAAAATATATCCTGTAGTTTAATTTATGCGCTTAAGCTATCCAAAGCTGTGAATTACATCCTTGGTGCTGCTCCTTGGTAACCTGTTCTTGATTATAGTCAGATTCTTGTCAGTTTCTGAAATACCCCTTTCTCTAAATACTGAATATTAAAGCCAAAGGCTTAGGTGAAGGTATTTAAACGCTATTTTCCTAAACTCAGGCTGCAAGGAACTAATTGCTTTTTGTATGCTTTTTATAATGTTAGAAGATGAGACCGATTCACCTATTATTATATGTTTGTATTTTAGCATAGTCAGATTGTTTCCATTAATATTTCAACAAAAATAACTTTCAGGAGAACTTTGTTTCTTTGCAGTAATGTACTGAAGTTTTGAAAAAATTGTCTCTTCATGCTTTCTAGAAGTGAATGAAACATCAGCCCAGCCGGCTGCTGAAGAGGAGGAGGATGATCAAGACCAGAGCGAAGATCAAGATGTCCCAGACCTCACTAACTTTACAGTTGAAGAACTCAGACAGTGCGTATAGTAGCATGATCTTAAAATGCAGTAAGAACAATGACATGGTAATATTTGTGTAGTTAATCCAAGATAGCTGAGAGCTTTTAAAAGATTAAATGCCACTTTGTGGCTGCTAAAAGAGCACCTGCAGTTTTGGCTTCTGTTCTTAGCCTAGCAGAATTTGAGAGAGGAAAAAGAGGGAAAATTAACTGGAGAAATCCATTCTTATACAAGATGTGTGTTGTGATTTAATCAGCAAGGTTATAGAAACTGAAGTCAGTGTTACTTCCTTTTCTACTACCAGTGTTACTACCTTTGTGGTAGTACGCACTATTAGACCTTTGGAGCTAGTAGATATAAAACTAACACGTAACTAGCGAGTTTCTCATGAATAGTTGGTGTGAGACCATTTTGTTAGATGCGTGTTTTCAATTGATGTTTTGAAAATCAGGAAGAATTTAGCTATATTGCATGTTTTAGCTGTATAGTAGATTCATCCTTTTTTTTTTTTTATTTTTTTAACTGTTATCATTTGAAGCAACTTACCGAGGAACTTCTTACTTGTTTCTTTTTAAAGAAACATTAAGATTTTTTTTTTCTTTTTGTAGGCGTTACGATAGTGTTATAAATCGACTGTACACTGGAATTCAGTGTTACTCGTGTGGAATGAGATTTACTACTTCACAGACAGATGTTTATGCAGATCATTTAGATTGGCATTATCGCCAAAACCGTACAGAAAAGGATGTTAGCAGAAAAGTTACGCACAGAAGGTGGTACTACAGTTTAACGGTAAGTAATGCAATATGTGTCTTAATAAATTAAAGGCCACATTCTGTGCTTCATGTATGTGCTGTTGGATTGCAGTTTAATCTCGAGTTACATCATCACAGGAGTTTGCCTTTGATTAAAAGACACTGTTTAGATATTTTAAATCGTTCTCATAAATGCCAGTCAAAACACAAGAGATGAACGTATGAGCAATAAGCAGATTAAACTATTAGTATCTCTTTGGTAGCACTGAGAATGGAACGGAAATTGAAGGATAGTGATCTTTCTGGAGAAAGTTTTTCAACAGTGTAGTACTGTGAAAAAATATACACTCTGTAATGCTGCATATGGGATGAGCATAATCAGTTTTTAATGAAGAGACTCATTACATATGCTGCTACTTGGATTTTTTTTGAGCTTCATTTTTTACGTATGGATTTGTGGATATTTGTCCATGTCTGACTGTGAATGAAAAATTTTCCGTAGGACTGGATTGAATTTGAAGAAATAGCTGATCTAGAGGAGCGTGCAAAAAGCCAGTTTTTTGAAAAAGCTCACGAAGAGGTTGTGTTGAAGACACAAGAAGCTGCAAAAGAGAAAGAGTTTCAGAGTGTTCCTGCTGGACCAGCTGGAGCAGATGAGGTATGTTTCAACTTGCCTTCATTAGTCCAGAGAGTGAGAATTATCTAATACTGTAAAGAATTTTACAGCATTCTTTTGTACATTGTGTTATATGTACAGTGTCTGAAGTTTTGTTCTTGGACCTTTGTGCAACCACTTCATAGATCTTATACTTGTGTATGTAATGGTTGTTTCCCAGTAGCAGATAGTGATAAAAATTACACGTAGTTCAAAAAAAAAAAACAAACTATGCCTATTGACATGCCATCTTTCTAGCAAAGCTGGAATGGGAAATGCTTGTTAATTTACTGAGGATATCCGTAGGAGGAGTAAATTGAACAAGTGAATTGGAAATGGTCCTTTGTGATTCAAATACACTTAGTTTGTGTTACCTTTACACAAAATTTTTTTTTTTGGTAGAAGGTAGGCATTAGGACAAAGACGTATCTCAGTCTTTTGACTTGAAAATAACCAGTAGATGCATATTTTATTAGATGAATTGGTATAGTAATCAAATACAAGTACTAACAGAATTTCAACTTAGTTTTACATCTAACCCCAAAACTAGCTATCAAGCCCTGAATTAATTTTGGAAGAAAGAACCTTTTGTGTCTTGTTCTCAGAGTTGATCGTATGGCAGAGAAAGTATTAAAGATGTTAACGTTTCAAGTAAAAGGTCTCCCTTTTTAACTTGAAACTTAAAGTTGAGTTAGAGGTAAGGGTGAAGATGGTGCCATAAATAAAATTGAGTCACTGTACTGGATTGTCTTACCTGAGAGAAGAAGGGCATTAGATTGTTACCAAGTGTTTTGCAGAGACTTCCTAGCTGAAAGGGCAAAGCTTAGAGTTCCCAAGTGACAGCTGTCTGCAAATCCTGATGTTAATTGTTACTGTCTGCAAACTATACTTAAAATAATTTTGCATTCATACCTCTTTTTTAAGATACTTCTAAAATGTGGAGGCAAGATCTTGTCATAGTTCAGTATAATTATCTTATTTTAAAAGAGCTTTATTTGAGTGACATTAGTCGCTTTCTTAAAGTTGATGTGTTCAGTATATTGTTAAAATCACATTTATATATCTCTGTTACTTTAATAACTTTTCAGAGCTGTGAAATTTGCCAAGAGCAATTTGAACAGTATTGGGATGAGGAAGAGGAAGAATGGCATCTGAAGAATGCTATTAGAGTAGATGAAAAGGTAATGTGATTTTATTACATGTGATACTTATTAATACTAAAAAAAAAAAAAGAGAGAGAGAAGAATTGTTGCAAGAAAATGAGAGGGGAAAGTGATTTTCATTCCCAAAGGGTTCTCTTAATGGTTTTACTGGCTTCCAAGTACACGAATATCTCAGCCTTTCGAAATGCATGAAACCTCGATTCCATTAACATAGGCTCACTAGAGTTCCCTCATGCTGCCTTGCTAAAAGAAAAATGAATGTCTCTATATATGGATGTAGATATTGGTTCTATTCTAAATACAGCTGTACACAAATAATTCTCAATCTCTACCAGGCTTTTGTGTAAGTTTTCCTACGTGAACGCACACAAAATCTTTTCCCAGTTATATTTGACTATTATACTTTGCCTACTCATACCATTGTTTTTCTAGAGGGATTATAATATGTGTAATCAAAACTGTTCTGTTCATGACCAGTGCTTCTACTATAACACAACTATATATTTAAATATATAACAATTCCTTTTCAGATTTACCATCCATCATGTTACGAAGATTACCAAAACGTAAGTGAATCCTTTATGTTTTCTTAAGCATTTTGAGTTTTGTTTTGCTTGATTTCTGGCTTTGCAGGGAGCAAATATATTCAGAATATACTATCCGTTTCCCTTGCATATAAATAGACAAAGAATTGAAGGCCCTAGGCATGGCAAGTTTGTAATACAAAATTACCTAAGATACATGTTTTGTTGTGATGTAGCATGTCAGCTGGTATATCACACACAACTAAAGAGAAACCATGGTTTGAAAGCATATTCTGAATTTATTGTTGAGTAAAGTGCTCACTCTTAGGAATTTGCAAAATGGAATAAATGGACTTTGTGTGTGTGAAATTTTTAATGATGTAAGAGTCACAGTACTTCTGGGGATAGCTGGGAATGTTTCATGGTAATGCGTTAAGTGTTTCATCCCTACTTGGATGATCTCTCTTCAAAATAATTGTAAAGTAATCCTGTTAAAGAGTAAATTGACTTTTTCAAGATCTAGTTCAAGTAGAAGTTTGGATTTTGGATGCCTGATCGTTAACATGCTGCTTACATTTTGAAAATTGCTATACGAAGTTACAAATAGCGGTTTTAATGGTGCGTTAATGCTGCAATGACTTTCATTTTGCAGACGTCGTCATTTGATTGCACGCCATCTCCCAGCAAGACTCCTGTGGAAAATCCACTAAATATTATGTTGAACATTGTTAAACAAGAAACACAAGAATCCTGTGACTCCCCTAAAGTCAAAGAAGAACCTGATGACACCCCTACTGCCTGTGCAGAAGAGAGCACACCTGCATCTACAGATATTAAAACAGAACCTGATAAGGTTGAGTCTGTTTAAACAAACTGAGGTATGGTGGTTTTTTTTTTTTCTTTTTTTTTTTTTAAACAGAACAGAAGAGCTGCTGTGTTGACTCTGGAAGGCAAATACTTTTTATATGAAATAAAAATGTTTAGTTGAGGCAGGGCCTCAGCTACTGTTTGGTTAATAAATACATTTTTGTATTTGAATTTCTTATTGCCTGCACAGTTTCAGGTGTCATTGTGTGAAAGTTCTGTAGATGCGTGAAAATTTAATGGAACGAAATTGTATATGTAAAAATGTACAATTTTCACTTCTGGAAATGTAAATTATAAATAAAAGATATTTTTGCTATATATGGAGTGTAATGTTTATGCACACCATCAAACGAAGACAGTGTTTCTGTACTTTTTTCAGTTTAAATTGAATTAAAAAGACCTCAGTTTTAGACCTCTTGCTCAACAAGATTCAGAAAAATTAAAGCAAATAACTTCCTTCCATTATCTCATTATGTGGGTTATCAAGGGAAGCAATGCAGGAACTTTTTCAGAGAGACAGCCCTAGATTTCTTTTCTTATTAAATTTATTTGAATACATTTACATACATATCCAGGTATTAAAAAAATAACCAAAAAGACAGTTTTGGGTTGAAGGGGAAAATTAACAAAGCAACCAGAGTGCTTGATTGTGAACGCAAGTGCCAACAAACATTCAGTTAACAAACCAGAATGCCTGGTGGTTGAGACATTTTAAATGATTTTTTCCGTTAGTCAAACACGTAAGAATTTAATATAGCTGAACAAACTTTTCTTTAAGTTACGGGGGAAACGAATGTAAGAATGCTCATTTGAAACATGGTTAACGTTTTTCTTTGTTGGTTATGACTGGACTTAGATGGTAAACCAGATATCCTGAGATGTTAATATTTCTTAAATGTAATAAATAAAATGAAGCATATATTTGCGTGTGAATCTCTTCCTTCCAGTAATGGGTTTGTGGGCTGGCATGTTGGTGGGATTAGAAATAAATGGGACATACAGTGTGTGTCTTAGGACAGTATACATTTAAAGTTTTATTCCCTCTGGCATGTGTATAGCAGGTAGTTTTAAAGATCCTGGGAGCAAGACTTAAAGCACTAAAACCTCAAAGAGTAGTGTCACAGTGCTAGTATATTGCTCTTTGCAGTGAGGATAATTGGGAGATCAGAATTCACCCTTTAGTGTATGATGTAAGTAGAAATATGCTGTGAATATGCTGTGTATGTTGGTTGCAACCCTGTTCTTCCCATCTTCGCAACCAGGCTTCAAGCAGTAAGCAGTTTTTAAGATGTTAATAGTCCCTTGACTCTTTATCATTAATATCTTAGCTATGGTTGTGAGTGTAGCCAGTTCCAGATGTCAGCCTTAAAAATATCTTTCTGCTATGGAAAGTCTAGAGCGTATTAGATTCTTCCGGCATAAGTAAATTTGCATGGTGGTATGTGGGGTAGGAAGTGCTGTATGAGTTACAGAAGTGTTTAAAACAGCTTCTGCCTGGAAGGACAATTAAGCTCAAAATCCTACTTTCTCCAGGTAATTAGCGATGCATAGTTGTAAATCTTACAAAGAATAGTTCTTCCTGCCTTGCTTTTGGAGTTTTGGGGCCCTGCTGTCTGGTCTAAGTATTTACTACGGTTATTGACAAGTATCTGTAGCACTTTACGTGGTACTGAAGAGATTCTCTAAATATCAGTCTTGAAGGCAGTGTGGCTGTGTTGTGTATATGTTCCCTCTAGAGTTGTGAAAATGCTTTCTCCTCCATCCTGTGCAGGGGTGTTTGTATGGGGAAATCTGCTGGTGGGCTGTGCTTCATTTTCTCTGCCTTGAAAGTGGAGTGTAATGGGAATAGATGAGATTCCCTGTCGCTGTTCCCTTCTAGAGGCACTAGATCAGATAGTCCTGGTCTCAGCCCTCTAAAAGCCTGTTGGACCAAAAAATTTAAAATGTGAAAGGTGTTTTTTTTTGTTTTGATATATTACCTAGACATTCTGTTCAAACTCAATTTACACAGTAATTTTACTAATAAAAATGCTGAATTCAGGCTTGAGCCAGCAGTGAACGCTAATAAAATGTGGTTTTTAAATGCAGCAGCCTTAAAGTGTGCACATAAACTCAGTGGCTTCACGTTCCTCAGTCTTCAAACCGATTATTTATGGGTAGCTTCCTTCTCATCAGTAGTATTAATTTACTTATAGGTACCTGATTATATGGGACTAAGGATTCATGGGTTAAATCCGCTGTTGTTAGAAAGATGTCTATTTTCTCTAAGCAGAACTCTTCACATCCAACCTAGCTTTGGGAGACTGTGTCATAGGGACTTAATGCCAAAGACTTTTTTTCCTTGGAAATATCCATGGGGAGGAATCAGGCCACATGGATGCATAGGTCAGGCATGTCCCACCACCCTTAGTTTGTCTCATCTGTAGGAGTCTCTGCGTTATGTTCATTACCTCAAATTCTGCTTTTTAGCCCTCAGTCTTTTTTACGTTCATGATTTCTTTTATTCTCTCCCCCTTGTATAATCCTTGAGAGTTATTTTTAGGGACCTCCGGACACCAATCTGTGCTTTCTCAGTTGTGCCCCGTTCTCCAAAGTTTTTGAAGCCCGGTTTGGGGCTTTGAAGGATACGCTTGCGGTCCTCTAGTTCCTGGTTCAGCCGAGCGTGAACGGTGGAGCACCTCGGACACGATAAGCAAGGGCAGCAGGGCCCCGTCTGCAGCTCCAGCACCCTTGCCCCCCCCCGCGGGGCGGCGGCCCAACCTAGACTCGGGCTGTCACCCCGGCTTGGGGAACAGCTCTCCTTGGAGACATAGAGGAGAGGCCACAGAGGCATCCCGGCTTTTCACCGTAGGCAACGTTTTGGCTAAGGGGGCTGGGAAGCGGCCGCGTTTCCCACCTTGTACCTGAAGACCGCCTTCCTCAGCGCAGAAACAGTTAAAAACGCACAGCTCTCGACTGAACCGTCAGAGCACGAGCAGGGAAATTCCTCCTCGGCCGACACATTGCTGATGGTTTTAGAGACTAAAATAGATACGGATTTGTGACGATCCCTCCCTGAGAAGCTAACCCAGGGCTGAGACAAGGGGAGAGC